TCAATTGGTAGAGCCCATTTCCAGCAGAAAATGCTTTTTTTTCTCTCTATCTTCAGGGTGCACTGCAACTAGCCAATAGCCACTTTCGAGATCAACGGTTGAAAACCAGTTCTATCCAGCTAAGGCAGTAAGGGTACCGTCAATACGGGACAATGAATAGGTATCTTTGTTGGTGACGCCATTTAATCTTTTGTAATCGACACAGAACCTCGTGGAACCATCGTTCTTAGTTACCAACACCACCGCAGAAGACCAGTGGTTACTCGACTCTTCATTGACATTCTCATTTCGCATATCTTTAAGAATCGCAAAAGCTTCTTTTTGTTTTGCAAATGGAAGACGTGTTGTTGAATGCCTTATGGGGTTGGACTTGTCAGTGTTTATCCGATGTTGGACTAAGTCAGTGCGGCTAGTTATTTTTCCTTTCATGTCATATAGAAAACGTCCGATTTTTTGATGACCTTTTATGCTTTTCGATATTCATCTTCGGATATATGGCCCCATGACGTCTTTAGATTTTCCCACAGTTCAGTAGAAAGTTGATGTGTTCTGCTGGCCGTTGGCACGTTTTCTTCTATTCTGGTTACTCTTATGACTGGCTCGCATATTTTGCGACGACTGGTCGCAAAAAGGACCAAGTACTTGATCCTTTTTGAAGGTTATCTTGTTATTTGGAACCGTCTTCTTATCCCCATCTACCAAAAATCTGGCCACGATGAAGCTCTCATTAACCTGCTCTTCTGGTTATAATATCTGGTTATAATCTGGTTATAATCACTAAATGTATTAATTTGTGCGACCACGATCTTTTCGCTGCTAGGCGGGATCTTTGTGTTTTCTGCTACTAACACCTTTAGCACATTTTGCTGATTTCTAGAGGCGGACAGTAGAATTTGTTCATTGCCGATGACTAAGGTCCTGTTTCTGACATCTACAATAAACCTATGTTCGGACAGGATGTCGACGCCCAGGATGAACTCATCTAAAATGTCGGCTACTAGGAACACTACTTCTATCTCGATATCCCAGTCCGATTTTTAGACATCTCTCCCCATAAACAGTTATGCTTTCAACTATCGCTGTCTCTTAAATAGGAGGTTTCGATATTGTCCTTATAAATAGAGGATTTCGACAGCCTTAACTCGAAGTGCTAATATGAAAGCTGTTGCCATTTGTTCATATGTTCATCTATTATTTTGTACAACGGCTTCGAATGGTCTTTTAAACAGTGGCCAGGAAGTCTCGCCGTCAAATGTAGGAGGCTTAATTATTCCGTTAACAGGGGAACAAGTCATGTCTGCTTTATCTTCAATTCTCAGTTGCTTGGCCTTTTCTTCATTTTCTATGCGGATATTTTCAATCGTGTATTTTTTCTACTAGAGTTCTTGTTACTTCAACTTCGTTATTCATGATTTCTTTTGTTTCTTCAAATTCTCTTTTCATATCTTTTTTTGTCTACTTCCCTTCGATTTATGTTTTCATATCTAGGCTTTTGTTTATCTTTTTAATATGTTCCCGAAAATATTGTATAAGGTTGAACTGATATTAAAGTGGAGATTTTAATAAAAGTACAACCTACAGGGTGTTGCATTTAAAAAACCAAAGACTAATGATATCAGAAAAATAGTAAATCTGGCAACGTTAATAACATCAAATTTCAAATCGCCATAATGTAAAATGGTGTATTCCAGTTTTTGTATAATTTAGACCATTCACTTAAGAGATAACTAGGAGTTTCTGGACTTCTGGTCCACTCTGTATATATATACTTAAATGTAAACGGACATACAGATTGAACGAAATAAATTCGGAACATAGGAATATAATGTATTTCGGCTCAATTCTGCTGTAAGTGGTTGGCCAACAAAAGATTGCCAAATAATTACATTATGAAAGTCCCACACTTCAGCGGGCTGCTGGATTCTGAACTCATAAAAATTGAAAGCTACACATAAATCTACGATTTTATTATGCTGTCAAACCAGTTATAGTCCAAGAAATGAAGCATTTCACCTCGCAATTTTTTCGTGCTGCGTGAATTGACTTGCAATTTAACAGAAGGTAATAGCCTAAGGATCAAAATCTAATCGAACCAAAGTGCGCCAAAGCCTAGGGGGTGGTTGCCACCCCATCACCGGGGTGAAATTTTTTTTTACGTTTTAACTACAGGTTTCGATTAAAAAAGTGATTCTAAACAAAAAATGTGCTATACATTTTTTTATAAAATGATATTTTTCAAGTTATTCGCGATTGAAAGTAACAACTTTTAGACGAAAAAATCCACGTTTTTAATCGATTTTTCGCGAATAACTCGAAAATGGTGCATTTTATCAAAAAAATTGTAGAGAACAAATTTGTAGCTTTTAAAAAGACAAATACAATTCATTTTTTAAAATATTTTTGCGATATAATAGGAATCGAATACGGCCTATCAATGTTCAGCGGTTTTCTTCAAATGCCAAATTTGAAAGATTCAAAGTCAAATATCGGGAAAATGATGCATTTTTGGAAGAAAACTCACAAAACCTTTTTTAAAGAGCGTAAATAGACCTATCATAAAAAAAGACTCTAGCTCAAAAATTGAGTGAGTTATGATGAAAATAAGGTCAATACCTCATTTTTACGAAAAAATCGATGAAAACAACCCCCTAACCACCCCCATAATTAAAATCGATCTTCACCCTTCTGCAATTCCCTTTGTACATATATTGTTAATACGTCCAAGAAGTTTGACCCATTTAAAATGCTTAGTTTTAGAAATGTATAGTACAGTACATTTCGGAGCATAATAATCTACAAAACCGGTATATTAGCTAGTATGGCGTTAAACATTCGAAATTTTAAGCGTTCCTATTTTGAAATCTCATACAACAGAATAAAACATCTGCTCATATGTCTAGGGCTTGGCAATGAAAATATCAGAGCAACAGATTGGGGATGGTATTCCAAAGATGGTTTGTTATTACCCGTACGCATGAACAAACAACCTGCACCCGATGAACTTTTGAAAATTATTTTTTGCTAATGCAAAAAAGGATACGGCGTTTCATGTGGGTGCAGAAAAGTTGGTTTATACTGTAACTCTACTTGTTCTGGGTGCTCAGGTGAAGGGTGCAATAACAGTCCACCAATAATTGAAGAAGATGAGGATGACATAGATCACGATGAAGATGTAATTGATGACGAATAAAATTAATATTATAATTGTTTTACCTATAAATGTAAATATTTTCAACTATTTATGTAAATGTATAAGAATATATGGTGCATTTTTATGTTTGATAAATTTTTTTGTATTTAACTCTACTTTTTTCAATTTATATCTTATAAATTAGTTTATAAAAACTGCAATGTTGTAAAGGGTGATTTTGAAAAGTTGCAAAATTTTGGCAAAAAATTGTTTTCACCTATAGCACCCATAACATTTGATTTTTAAGGGTTGAAAATGTATGAATTTGTATTTTAACGTATAAAAAATCACTATTTAACTAATCCAAACCAAATTTCACTTATCCTAAGATTTGTAATATTATTTTACAATTTTTTAAAATTAGGGGTAGTTTTCACCCCTAAGAACAATCAGGGTTCATCGGCATGACATAAACTATAAAGCAGAGCGTGAGTTGAGCCTAATTCCAAATTTTTATGCAAATCATTCCAAGGTGAAATCATTTTCTTCGCATTACTAATTTTTTTATATTAATCTCTAATAAGGGTCGCTTTTTAAGGGCTGAAATATGATGGAACTTTATTCAAAAGTTCGAAACTATCATTATTTAATTAATTCAAACTAAATTTTACCCATATTCAGGTTTAATATGTTATTTTATAATTTTTGACAATTAGGGGTAGTTTTCACCCCTAAGAACAATCAGGGTTCGTCGACATGACATAAACTATAAAGCAGCGGGTAAATTGAGCTTAAATCCAAATTTTTATCCAAATCGATCCAAGGCGAAATCATTTTTTTAGAATTAGTAATTTTTTTACATTAATCTTTAACAAGGGTTGCTTTTTAAGGGTTGAAATATAATGGAACTCTATTCAAAAGTATAAAATAATCATTATTTAACTAATTCAAACCAAATCTTACCCATATTTAGGTTTAATATGTTATTTTATAATTTTTGACAATTAGGGGTAGTTTTCACCCCTAAAACCCTTCGGCGCACTTCGATTCGATATAGATTTTGATCATTGGGCTATCACCTACCTTCTGCTAAAATTTCAACTGGATACATGCAGGACGAAAAAATTGCGAGGTTTTAACTTTTTTCGAGCTTCATTTCCTGAACTATCTTCCTTAGACAAACCCGTCTTACGCAAACAACTTTGTTGCGAGACAGATAGTTGAACGATATTTTATACAATGTCTATACCCAGGTATGAATTTATTTTTGTTCAAGTTTTATATTGGTCCACTATTTCAAATGCAGTTCAAACAGACATGTATTAAATTGTATGTTCCGTTTTAATTTGGTTGAATCTGTATAGGAACTACTGTTTAACATTGACTCCGAACGATAGAGATGCTGTACCAAACAGATTACCATTCGTGGTTTGTGAGGGCCTTCAAAGCGGCAACCTAGGCAGTACTTGATTTTTTAGTGGGAATCGAACCCACATCACTCACCACCTAAGGCGGATACACTTATCCCTGAGCTACATAGACCCTCACAATAGTACTAAATATTAGATCAGAACCGGTTCTTTGTTAGGATGCAGTAAGTTTATGAAATAAACATAAAAATGATAAGTACGAGAACATGTTGTTGTGTTGCAAATTGTTACTTTGTTTCGTTTGCTAAATTAGAATATCTATAATGAATAATTCTAAATAGCTATTATGGAAAAGTTAAAATGGTAATTTTAATTTCTTTGGAATGATTTATAAATAAAAATATTTACACAAAATATTATCTTCTTCAAAGTGTACCTATTTAATGATTCTTTCTATTTATTACACATTTATTTTTCTTACTGATATGAATAATTTTTAGTCCTCTCATCTTTTAAATGGAAAACCAAGAGCAGCAGCAAAAGTCCAGAGCCTCCCAGAACTAATACTTATAATATTCATTCCACTAATAATAGTAATAATACACAAACTAGTACTAGTAGTAACAAAAGAACAAATGTTTCAAGTAATACTCAACGAGACAAATGTGAACAATGTGGAAGTTTACTGCTACCAAAATGGCATGGGTGCACTTGCTGGTCAACAGAAGAGGAAACGTTATTCTGTTTACTTAAATTAGAGGCCAGGGAAAACTTTAAACAAATAAAACAAATTGAACATGAGCTTAGAGTACAAAACAAGGTTCTAAAACTATTAAATAGTAGGTGTTCAAGTTTGGAGAGAATTGTAAAAAAGAAAACTGAGAGAAGTATAGAGATGTCTAAAGACTGTAAGACTGCAAAAGGCTGCTTTAAGAATTCGTCTGATACAACAGAAAATAAGTAAGTTATAATTTATTTGATACATTCAGATGCAAGGTTTTGCTTTATACTTAAAGCTGTTTAAATAATTTTAGCAGTAATAATAACATCAAATTACCATTTTACACAATCAACTAAGTTAAATAAATTTTTACCACAATAAGAATAAAACTCCCTACAAAACTTGGTTATTTTTCCCCATTTTCTTTTCGGTCCCTTGCTTTCTCGCTCTAATCTCTCACACCTATTTCTGACAAGTCCAACTTTACTACTTCCAACCATTTCTTCTTTGGACATTCTCTTCTTTTTCTCCATTTCTCCTTCCTTCAGTATGGTTTTAAAATTTCGGTTCTCTGGCATTTGTATAATGTGACCAAGCGATCTAGCTCTTTGCGCTCGTATTTTTGCCCTAATTATTGATTTTCCATACATCGTTATGCTCATTATTTCTTAATATTTTTCTCTCGAATATTCTTCTGAGCACCTTTCTTTCCCAGATCTCTATTTTCTTTTTTTCCTGCTGGTTCATAATCTACGTTTCGCTGGCATACATCACTATGGATCTCATTACCGTAGACTCGCGGTTAAGCTGTTCGTGACTCTGCTTCCCTACATTAATCGTCTGTGTATCGCTTTCTTCGTTTCATGTGATTCAGTAAATTTGTACTGTAAAGTGATACTAGTAGGAAAGTTTTGGGGAAGTTCTGATTTTTTCATTTCATATATGTTTTGGGGTGCTAAATCTGAATCTGAGGTTTGCGGACAAAATTTCGCGACACAACATTTAAAAAATCAGAAGAAATCGTTTTTTTTTTTTCTTTTTTCCATTTTTTTGCTTAAAACTCGAAAACTGTTATTTTTTGTTATTGTACAGACGAACCGTTCGGTCTCAAGTGCAAATGATGGTGCCCACTGTGTCGCAGGATAGTTTTCTTGCAAACACAAAAAACAAGAGCCGGTTTATATCTATGTTAATGGAGAAACTTCATGATGCAAAAATTCATTCAAAGCAAGCTGTGGAAGATGCTGATATCCTAATTATCTCAACAGCTCTTGAGATGGCCCCGTCAAATGAACATGTGACAGTGGTGGGAGAAGATATCGACCTACAGGTCATTTTGATTGGCCTTTGTAGCCCTGATATAAAAAATGTTTTTTTTTAAGCCAGGAAAAGGAAAGGTTTCGCAAAGCATCTACAACCCTCATCTGGCTGCTGAGAAAATCCTATTGGATCATATTTTATTCCTGCATGCGATGAGTGGTTGTGATACTACTTCTGCATTGTTTAATCAAGGGAAACTGAAATTTCTTAAAGTCCTGCAGAAGAACAAAGATTTGCAGTCGGTAATTGAATCTTTCAAATACCCTAATTCAAGTCATGATGAGATTGCCACAGCAGGAAACATGTTTCTCACGGCTCTATATGGAAAAAAAGAGACAAAACTAAACGATTTAAGATATAAACAATACGTATCTTCATCATTCAAAAATAAGACCAACATTTCCTCATTGCCCCTAACTGAAGCTGCTGCACGAGAACATTCACTGAGAGTTTACTGTCAGGTGCAGCAGTGGTTATCCGGTCAAGCCACACCTAACGAGCAACAAAAAGACCCAAGTGAGTGGGGATGGCAAAAAACTAGTAGTGGTCTTGTGCCAGTACCAACTACTTTGGACCCTGCACCAAACTCAATACTCCGGTACATTTCATGTAAATGTAAACAGGGCTGTCAACGCAATTGTGGATGCAGGAAGGCAGGACTCCATTGTTCCCCAATATGCGCATCATGCGAAGCACTGTGTAACAATGTTAAGCCCCCAGAAGACAGCTCTGACATAGACGTAGAAGAAACTGAAGAAAGAGGGAGAGGTATGTTGGATCTGACAAGTTATTTTGTAGTCATTCATCTCTCCTTGATATATGATATGTGTCTCTCCTCTTTTTATTTTCCAGGAGAATGACTCCCGACGCGGATGGAGCAATCAGACCCTAAGCCAGGACCCGATGCCATCGAAGAACCTCACTACGATGCGGAAGGTATGTTTAATCTCACAATCTATTTTGCAATCTTCATCTCTTCTTGATAAATGACTGAAATTTAAACTTTTATTTTCCAGAACAAGCAGAAGCAGGACTCATCGTTATCGAAGAACTTCAGCCAGACAACGGCTCATATAAATTTTGCATATTATAATTTATAATCAGAATAATATATGATCATAAGTAACGAGATTTTAAGTTTTATTTTGTTACGAGTTCTATCTACCTACTGAATTTGCATAATTTTTCCCTTTTTTCTTTTTAATTACTTGTGTGGAAATCTAAGTGACATTTATCAAATAACAGGATCCATAAAAATTAAATATTGAAATGTAAAAAGTGGGTTTTGCATAAAATGCTAAAAATTTACAATTTTCAACTCGCACTAGAAACTGAACGATTCGTCTGAAAAAAAAAACTAAACACTGGTATTTGTAGAAAATTTCAAGTACTTTAATTTCTGTAAACAGACCATTTAGTTGTAATCAGACCAAAAGTTGATAGTTTTCGAGTTTTAAGCAAAAAACCCGAAAAAAAGAAGAAAAAAAACGGTTTATTCTGTTTTTTTAATGTTGCGTCACGAAATTTTGTCCGCAAACCCCAGATTCGGATTAAGCACCCCAAAAAACATATGGAATGAAAAAAATCAGAACTACCCCAAAACTTTCCTAGCAAAAATACAATTTAACTGAACTAATGTGTTCGCCAAGGTTACTACTAAGTATTTAAATTATGACATGTTTTCAAAACTATGGACATAAATATTTGTTATGTCTCATCTTATTTCCATATAATGCGTTTTTGTTTTCTGTAAAACTTTTTCTAGATATTTTTTTATTGTCACTATGTTTTCAAAACTATGGACATAAATATTTGTTACGTCTCATCTTATTTCCATATATTGCGTTTTTGTTTTCTGTAAAACTTTTTCTAGATATTTTTTTGTTCTCACTAGTATCACCACATCATTCGCGTACGCTATGCACTCTTTCCTGCGATTGAAAATAGTCCTGTTTGTAATTATATTTGATCTTTTTACGATTTTTTGTAATACTAGGTAGAATAAATTTGTTAATACCAGATTCCCTTGTTGTAAACTCTATTCACTGTGAACTTGAAAAGCTTTCTTCCATTGTTACCCTATTTCTCTTGTGAGAATAAAGTATCATTCTCACTAGCCTCACAAGGTTTTCTAGTATTTCTAATATTTTCGTGGCCTCATATAGCATAGTTCTATTTATGGAGTCGCATGCTTGTTTGTAATGCTCAAGAACTGAATAAAACAAGCTATAACATTGATCAGAAATGGGAAAATCTAAGAACAAGAAAGAAAGACTAAAATCCTGCGAATGCTAAGATTGCAAGAGTGATAAAATCAAACGAGAGATTAGAGTGTGCGAGCGCAATCGAACGCAAACCCCTCTGTTCCATTGCGCCAGCAGTTCTTACAATACATGATACTATGATACTATTGGATTTATTCTTTTTTTATCTTAGTACTTTCTAAATAAATTACTAAGTATAAATATGTAAAAGTTACCTATCCATTTTTTTTTGTTTAACTTATAAAAATACACTTTTATCTTCAACAGAAAGAAAATAATGACAGACGAAACCACATACACGAGTAATGCTACTTCAAATACCAGTATACCTGAGCAATCCCAATCAACAACAACCAAAGAGTTAGCAGAAGTTTCTCAAACTGCCAGCAATGAATCTTCCGCTTTAAAATCAAGCACTTCGCAAAACTGGGAAAAAGATGAAAAGGATCCACGGTCAAGATGTGTTGCAAAATCTAATAATTTTCCAAACTATCTGAGCGATGAAGAGCCTTCCACAGAACTTTCAACTATAAATAAACTTGAAATTAGTCAAATCTCTACCACTGAGGCCACGGATTCCTCAAAATCAAAAGATAATAAAGTAAAAACTGCAAGTGTTAATAAAACCAAAGTCAATATAGAAGATTGTGTTACCAAATCCGTACGAAGTTCTAAAGTAAAAATTACAATTTCCAGATCTACTGTATTGATTAAAGCTTCAACAGGGAAAGTTAACGATGATTTAGATAAGCACCAAACTTTAAGAGAAGGAACCAAACAATTAGCGTAAGTTATTTTATTAAATTTTATCGTAAGTTTGAAGTATTAGAAAATATTTCATTAACTACAGAATTTTGTTCTGTGAATAAACAAAAGTATACCCCGAAAATCATTCTAAAAAAGTGTAAACAACTTTCATATATAAATATTATATTTCTGTAAAATAGGAATAATTGTTGAAACGGTTCTTACGATAGATGAAACCTACTAAATTGTCTCTTTCGTAGTAACAATTGAGCTCTGTACTATCCGTGTTCAAATTTAATTTCATTTATTATTTTTAATATTTTAATGTAAAATTACGTCAACATTTTTGCGTCACAATCCCTGTTCTGTATTACTTTTACTACTACTCTGTGGTGTTATAACCCTTCGAGTTTTAGCCGACTCGACAACATACCTCGACTGTTTTCTGTCTTGAGCAACCTCCATTCAATTCTCCGCGCCCAATGTTCTTAGGTCTCCTACTATATTATCTCGCCACCGGAGACAAGGACGTCCGCGTGGTCTCCTTCCAGTTGGGACTTCCTCCCACAACAGTCTTACTGTACGTTCGTCAGAATGTCTTCTGAGGTGTCCTGCCCATTGGAGTCTTCTGGACTTTATTTCTTTTATGATGTTGGCGTCTGGATAAAGTTCTTTGAGCTCTTTGCTAGATCTTATTCTATATTGTTTTACTGAGTAAGTATTCCGTCGACTCCGTATTTAGCCCTTCGACTTTGATTTTTGTTTGTGTTGGCGCCGCTTTCTTGGGTGGGAAGTATTTCAGGATTATTCTTATTTTACATAATACTAGGCTATGGTCGCTACCTACATCTACTGAGTTGAGACATCTTACGTCGATTTTGTTACGAAAAAATATAATTAATAGATATAATTTTAAGCAAAAATATTTATAAGCATTTTTTACGTAAAATAAACCGTTTTCTTAGAATCAACGCTTGAAGCGACCGTAGATTTTGCATGTCAGTTTTAGTCAGAGTAAATCAATGTTTAATAAAATTTGTATCAGCTCGACGGTGAAAATTCGATATCTTTTGATCCAAATGTCCTGTCGACAAAAATTAAGATGCGTTATAAAGGCAAAGAGTGCAGCTTTCGTATATAGGTTTTGTATTTTGCCGAGAATAAACTCAGTTTTTATAAAGGTGTTAAATAAATTACCGTGGCCCGATTTTTGCCATTTTTTACAATTTTCGTATGATCAATAAAAATGATCACTTTACCTTTAAAAAGTATTTTTATTTTTGTCGATAAGTCACATGAATCAGAAAAAATCGAATTTTTACCGTCGAGCTGATACAAATTTTATTGAACGTTGATTTCGTGCGCCTAACTGACATGCAAAATCGACGGTGGCTTCAAGCGTTGTTTCTAAGAGAACGGTTTATTCTACGCAAAAAATATTTGTAACCATTTTTGTTTACAATTATTTCAGCTACAATTTTTATTTGAAACATTTTTTCAATGGTGTACAAATTCTTGGTAAATTTATTTTTTTGCGTTTTTACCCCCTGCAAGGGAAGTTTTAGGGGAGAGCGCGGGGGTAAACTTTTTTGGGGTCCCAAAATTAATATGTTCGGCAAAATTCAGCTTGTATGATTTTTAGAGGTTCAGTGGTGTTGCGTTCTGCACATACGATGACTTCTATATAACATTTGAGGTCATGATAAAGAAAGAAGAATGTTTATATTCAATCCAGACCCGCTGGTTTCTTTGTTTCGCTTTTGGTATCAATATTAAAATAGAACAAAAATGAAAGCCAGAGGACTATATGAAACTCTATTTTAAAAAGATTAAAAAAAAGTAAAATCAGATATAAATATAATAATACTTTATTTCCTTTTTGACAAATACAATTTATATAGGATCAGTCACAGTTTAGAAAACAAAATTACTAATACTAATATAAATGTAAATCTAAAATTACGCTAAACCTAAGGTTACAAACACAAATAGAAAATGTAAAATTACTAGCATATACTTAAAATAATGTCAACTACTAAAATATTCATCAACAGAATAAAACGTATTCTGCAATAAAAAATCTTTAAGTTAATTTAAATATTTTCATATTCTTACATTTTTTTATTGGCTCTGGTAACCTTTAGAAAAAGGCACATGCAATTTTTGATTCTGCCTTGTATTTTTATTGTGAATTTGACTATTAGTTTTAAATTTATCAAGATTTAAATGAATAAAAACACAGACTTCAAAAATATATAAGCACGGCACAGTTAAAAGTTTATATCTAGTAAAATAACTCTTACAGCTAGTTATTCGAGAAATACCAGCAATACAACGCACTATTCTTTTTTGAGATAAAAAGACTTCACTGAATTTACAAGACGTACCCCAAAATACTATGCCATACCGCAAACGAGACTCCACCTGAGCATAATACAGCATAATTAGCTGTTTTTCACTTAGCGTATCTTTGAGGTTTCGAAGTAGGTAGCATGCTGAGTTTATTTTGGAAATAATATCATCACATTGCCTTTTCCAATTGAGACACTCATCAACATACAAACCCAAAAACTTTAGGCATTGATCTTTTTCAATTTGGGTAGAATATATTGATAGTTCGATATCTAACAGATGTTTCTGTCTATTGTGGAAGTGAATAGCATGCGTTTTATCCGCATTAAGATGTAAGTAATTTGAGGAAAACCAATAACTAAGATCACACAAAAGTTGGTTACATTTATTTTCAAGAGATATTTGTGATTTATCTGATATAAGTATTGAAGTATCATCTGCATAAAGTGTAAACTGTACAGCAGAATTTACTGAGACAATATCATTTAAATAAATAAGAAATAATATTAGGCCAATTACAGAACCTTGCGGAATACCCATATGAATGTAAATATAATCTGATTTGCAAACATTTTCTGAGTGCTGGGATAAATCTGTTAAGGAGCCGTACTGACGACGTTCTGATAGGTAGGATTCTATCCATTTTATAGAGAGATCTTTTATTCCAATATTTTCTAATTTATTAATGAGTAAGGTATGATCGACACAGTCAAATGCCCTACTAAGATCACAAAAAATTCCAACAGGGCAGTCATCCGCATCAATATAGTTAGTTAAAGTCTCATAAAATGAATGAACTGCCGTGTTTGTAGACTTACCTGCCTCAAAGCCATGCTGACATTTATTAATAATACCGTTCTCCAATAAATGAGTTTAATCTGTTAAGATAACAGTATTCGAATATTTTCGAAAATACTGAAGGGACAGTTGAGGCTTGGACACTAAAACAGTTGACCATAAAAAACATCGAAGCTTTCGAGATGTGGTGCTATAGGCGCATTCTCAGAATATCATGGATGGACCGCGTCACTAACACGCAAGTACTCCAAACTTTAGACAAAAGATGCGAAATTCTAAATGAGATAAAAACTAGAAAGATGGAATACTTGGGGCACATTGTGAGAGGTGAGAAGTACGAACTTTTAAGAAACATCATGCAGGGCAAAATTAAGGGCAAAAGAAGTGTGGGAAGAAGAAAAATATCGTGGCTTCGTAATCTACGTGAATGGTTCGGATGTAGTTCGATTGAACTTTTCAGGCGCGCTGCTAACAAAGTCGCAGTGGCCATGATGATTTCCAATCTCCGCTAGGAGTGGCACGAGAAGAAGAAGTTATTGGGCGATAATTACTAATATCCTTTGGATCACCTTTCTTATGTACAGTGAAACCTCAATACTCCGGGAGTATTGGATTTTAGGAAGTGTGGGACTTCCAAATTCCAGAAGAACTGGAAGAGAGGTGATGATAATACTAAAATAGGGCTAAGCTCAGAGGAACAAAGTTAAATGGCCAAAGAGACACTAAATCTCAAGTGAGTGTTCGGGCTAGCTTCAATGCACTGGATTGTGGCTTTAAAGATATAAACAGATAGCAAGGATACTGAGCTAATGAGACAAGAAACGAAATGAGACCTGGTAATATCAAACGTGATACAACTAAAGAAGGTCACTGGGAATAAATTTATAGAAAAAGGACAATAAGAAGAGAAAAGAAGGGCGCCAACTCAACGATAGTTGAGATTTTGAAGTAACAAATGACAGGAAACAAATGATACTAGAGATAGATAATAACCTGAAATCCAAAAATACTAAATATTAATCTTGTCTTGCTATATTATATACTGGTTAGTAGAACTGAAATAAAACTCAAAATAGTAACAATAAATATATTTATAAAAATGTGTATATCGATATATATGTATTAACAATTTACATATAATGCAAAAACTAAATAACAGTGGTAGTGGGTGTGTAAAGATACAATAGGACCTAATAGCCCCTCAACAAGCGAATAGTCACTACCACTGGCCAAATAAAGTTTAAAATATTAGTAATAATTCAAGAATAGTCCGTCTGATAGCCAAAGTCTTAACACAAAAAGGTAGTAATTTAAATTTAACTAGTTCAACTAAAATGAGATACAAATTACAATATTGTAAAGATATCAAACCCGATAAGTCTATTACAATTATATTATATTACATCCAAAAAGTGAGTCTTCAATACTCTTTATATAATGTTTAAAAAAAACCACATGAAATTTATTTCCCTTCCCAAAATCAAAATTGTATTATATCAAAAATGTATTCTATTAAAAAATATATATTAAATCAACAAGTGAGTTCGGTCAGACTCTGTATATCCTATTTAAAAACCTAATAAAAACATGTAATGTATTTTTCTCTCTCCCAATAATATCAAAATTATATTTTCTTAAAATGTAGTCACTTGATCATATGCATATGAAAAGTTAACAAAATAGATAGTAACAAAAAAAATTACACAGTCAAACAACTTATCTTTACAGCCCCATAAGTCCATAGGAAAATTCCTCTTGGCACGGTTACATCAGTTTGTGGCTGTAAGGACAAACCCAGGGGAGTCTAACATAACCAAGTTGTTAACTATTCAATAAATTCTGTAACTATTCCTTGAGGGAATATTCTCAAGAGAATACTCTCAAGTGAA